CATGGTCATCTTTGGAAAATACAGTCTACTACAGATGGCATAAAAGTTAGATTTTTAAAAATAAGCTAGATATTTAAATCAAACTAGTATCCCCTACAATTGAGGGCAGGTCAAATTAAATAAATGAGCAGCTTTATAAAATGCTAAACTAAAGAAAAAGTATCATCTGTAAAAAAGAAAAAGGAAAAGTTACCAGAGTTCTAACTTCAAGTCAACCCAGGTCCCCTTACAGAAGGTAAACGTATTCCGGCCAGGAAGAGATTAGAAAATACATGTTGGATTTGATGGTCTTGCCGACAGAGTCAGGTAATGAGACACAGTCAAAATCCAACTCAATGTAAACTGAGTTTCTTTACAGTTCCATAACACACGCCTTTTACCCACTAGCCATCTTCTTCTGAGATACCTGAGGATGTCCCCTTTTATTTTCTTGAGACAGAGTCTTGCTCTGTCACCCAGGCTGGAGTGCAGTGGCACTATTCTAGTTCACTGCAACCTCCAGCTCCCAGAATCAAGGGATTATCCTGCCTCAGCCTCCTGAGTAGCTGGGATTACAGGCATACACTACCACACCTGGCTAATTTTTATATTTTTAGTAGAGATGGGATTTCACCATGTTGGCAAGGCTGGTCTCAAACTCCTGACCTCAAGCAATCTGGCCACCTGGGCTTCCCAAAGTGCTGGGATTACAGACATAAGCCACCACGCCTGGCTGAAATCTGTTTTTAGTTTTTATTGGTCACTCTCCAAAGAGGAAACCACCTGGGGGGTTCCCCCAACACCATCGTCTCCACTATGGGCTGTGATTCCGTGTTCATGACCCCATGGGTCATTCTCTTCCCCACCTCCCAAAATCTTTCACTGCCACTCCTATATCTTGAAGCTATTTCTGGAGTGTTCCTCTAACTTCAGGCTTTAACTGTGCCCTGAGGACACCATTTCCACTGCAGCTTTCTCAAAAGACAGTGATTTATTCTCTTAAATTCCAGCAACTTTAAGTTTGAAAGGCGAGCTTACTGTTCTCCATGCTCCTCACTGCTACTTGCAAATCATAAATGGCTAATCTTTTTATTAAAAACAAAACTCCAAGCAAATGAGAAAAGCTTTCTCATTTGAGGCTCATGACACCTGACTAAACAACCCAGTTCTCCTCCTTCTCATTTCAAAACCCTGACACATGATTCCCCGTCACCTTTTAAGATAAGCTTAAATCCTGTCATCATTCTGTTTGCCTGAAACAGTCATGAATTATAACTCTGTCACCTAGGATGAGTGCAGTGGCATGACCACAGCTTTCTGCAGACTCAAAGTTCTAAGTTCAAGCCATCCTCCCATCTCACCCTCCTGAGTAGCTGGAAATGCAGGCACACATACCATACTCAGCTAATTATTTTTTGTAAAGATAGTCTTGCTGTGTTGTCCAGGGTGGTCTCAAACTCCTGGACTCAAGCAATTCTCCTGCCTTAACCTCCCAAAGTGCTGGGATTACAGACATGAGCCACTGCACGTGGCCTACAATTGTTCCTTAGCTTCCCATCTACTTGGCAATTTGGTACTCTCAAACATATCCCGGTCTTGAGACAATAAGTGATGTGGCCACCCCAATCCTGAGTGACATAAACAGTTAGCTGGGATGATGCACATGGCCCCTTAGCCTCTCATGTCCTTGGTCATCCCAGCCACGCAGCCCACGGTCACTCCCTGGACTTTGTCAGCACCCATAAGCTCTCCACCTCCAGAAGCAAGTTCACTCTGTCTAACTTCTGACCACAATAACCCATCCTTCCATCTTCCATCCAAACCTAGTCCTGCAGGAGAGAGGCACAGCCGACAAGATGGCTTCCACCATAATTCATGATTGCCTGTTTTAAGTGGATGCTGAATCTGCCTGGAAATCCCGTTACAGTTTCTGATCCCCTTTCTCTCCCATTCTCTTCAATGACCTTATCAGACTTTCTCCAGCTCCCCAAATCAATGCCCGGCTGATCTCCAAGTTCACTCTCAGCAGATGACCCTGCTTCTGGCAAGGAAAACAGAGGCTTGAGGTTAGATTTCCTTATGTTACAGCCATATGAAAGAAGATCCTTATCTACTCTAAACCCACCATAAAATGGAGGAAGTCTCTTTTCTCTTATCTGGGGCCCATTCATTTACCTACATTTTGGACTCAACCCACTTCCGTCTTGAAAACTTTTCACCATCAATTATTTCTACTCTCTGTTAATGTCGACTCCTCACTCTTATCTCAATTATTCCTGTTTGAAAATCATTTAAGAAAATAGATAAAAGGCTGGGTATAGTGGGGCTCGTGCCTGTGATCCCAGCACTTTGGGATGCTGAGGTGGGAGGATCACTTGAGCTCAGGAATTAGAGGCTGCAAGTGAGCTATGATCACACCACTGCACTCCAGCCAGGGCAACAGAGCAAGACCATGTCTCTAAAAATAAAATAAATAAATAAATAATTAAAATCTTCCTTAATTTCATATCCTCCACCCACTGCCTCCCTGTCCCCTTTCCTCTCTTCACAGGTGATATGGTTTGGCTGTGTCCCCATGCAAATCTCACCTTGAATTGTAATAATCCCCAAATGTCACGGGCAGGGCCAGGTGAAGATAACTGAATCATGGGGACTGTTTCTCCCATACTGTTCTTGTGATAGTAAATAATGTCACGAGATCTGATGGTTTTATAAATGGGAGTTCCCCTGTACATGCTCTCTTGCCTGCTGCCATGTAAGACATGACTTTGCTCCTTGTTCCCCTTCTGCCGTGATTGTGAGGCCTTCACTGCCATGCTGAACTGTGAGTCAATTAAACCTCTTTTCTTTATAAATTACCCAGTCTGGGGTATGTCGTTATTAGCAGTGTGAGAACAGACTAATACAATAGGCAAACTATTTACAAGGGTTGCTTTGCTCACCATGTTCACTCCTCATGTTTCACACCCTGTTCACTCCTCAACCCACTTTGGCCTGCAGCCCATCATGCTATTGCAGTTGGTTTCTGAGGTCACTAACATTGGTAAAGCCAATTACCATGTCTCAGTCTTGCTGACTTGTCCTTGCAACATTTCTGGATATTGCTGACCACATCCTCCCACTCTTGTGGCTTCCACAGCACTTTCTCCTAGTTTTCCTCCTACCCTCTTAAAGCTCTTCCTCTGTGTTCTTTGTGGACTCTCTGTCCTCTACTTTAGATGCTGGAGTTCCTTAAGACTTAGCCCTAGGCCTCTGTTTCATCCCACGTCATAGTCTCTCTACGCAATCTCATAAATCACCACCTATATGATTACTCAAAATGTGTATCTCTGACTCTGAATCACACTTCTCTGGGCAAAGGATTCTTCTATACAATTCTCTACTTGAAGTCTCCCCTTGGATGTCTTAAAGATTTGTCCAATTCAACTTGCAAACAATAAAACTCACTATTTTCCCCTGCCCAAATACCACTCTTCCAGAGTTCCCATCTTGATAATGGGACTGTCAGCCACCATCATACAAACCTGATTCTTAGGAGTCATCCTTGCCTGCCTGCTCTTCTCCCTCTGCCTATATCCAGCCCTCTCAATCTCTGGCCAACTACCTTCTAAATGTCTCTCAATTCACCCATTTTTTCCCATTTCCACTGCTGCCAACCTAGTCAGAACCATTATACAGTTGACCCTTGAACAACATGGGTTTGAATTGCATGGGTTCATCTATACTTGGATTTCCTTCTGCCTCTGCCATCCCTGAAACAACAAGATCAACCTCTCCTCTTTCTCCTCCCAGTAAAATTGAGTAACGTGAATGAGATGAGGATGAAAACCTTTATGATGATCCACTTCCACTTAAGAAATAGTAAATGTGAGATCAGTCACAGTGGTTCATGCCTGTAATCCCAGCACTTTGGGAGGCCGAGGCAGGAAGATTGCTTAAGGCCAGGAATTTGAGACCAGCCTGGGAAACATAGCAAGACCCATCTTACAAAAAATTATTTAAAATAAAATAAAATTAGCTGGAATGATGGTGCACGCTTATAGTCCCAGCTGCTCAGAAGGCTGACGCCAGAGGATCTCTTGAGCCTGGGAGTTTGAGGCTACAAGGAGCTATGATCTCACCACTGCACTCTAGTCCAGGAACAGAGTGAGACTGTCTCTGGAAATAAATAAATAGAAAATATATTTTCTCTTATGATTTGTTAATAACAGTTTCTCTAGCTTACTTTATTGTAAAAATACAGTATTTAATGCATATAGTATATGTTCATTGACTGTTATCAGTAAGGCTAATAATTGGCTGTGACCAATTATTATTTTAAAAGGACGGTTAACAGCTGCTTGATCATCACCTGACGTTCTTGGTATGGAGTCAGGGGAGCCCTCTCCTGCCCTGCTCATACCTGACTAGCTACCTACTGTAACAGGACAATGCCAGGTTTTAGGGGTACCAAACTGCTGCACAGTTGAAAATCCATGTATAACTTTTGACTCCCCCCAAATTTAACTACTAATGGCCTACTGTTGGCCAGAAGTATTACTGATAACAGTCAATTAACACATATTATGTTATATGTATTTAAATAAATACCCTATTTTTACAACAAAGAAAGCTAGAGAAAAGAAATTACTAAGACAATCATAAGGAAGAGACAATATATTTTCTATTTATTTATCATTTACCCTAATTAATATAGCACCTTGACATGTTGAATATTAATTTGTCTGTTGTCTGCTTTCTACCAACTAGAATGCACCAGGCATGAGAGCAGAAATTGTTTCCTCTATTTTCATTGCTCTTAGAAGTGTAGGTGCTTGGGAAATGGCTTCTCATTAAATAAATGACAGAACTATTTGAAACTGCCGAGTTAACACATGCATCTAGTTTATGTTTATGTCTCCACCGCCTTCCCCAACATATAAGCCTTTGAAGACACAGCTGCAGAGAAGGGGAGGTTTATTTAACCGCCATTTACAAACCATAACTGACTTTAACTTCTGTATTTTCAGACCTCCCAGCGACTTTCTCTCAGGAAACTCCACTCTCAACTGACAAGTGCTATTTCCAGCCATTCCTTTGCTATTGCACATAGTGAGGCCATGAATGCCCTGTGCCATGTGCATCACTTATTTTCAACAGCAGATCTTTGTAATACACTCCTGGAAGTAGGGTGGCTGGGTCAAAAGGCGAATCCGTACACAAGCTAAATAGATATTGCTCAATCCTCTTCTACGGGGTTCAAACCATTCTGGATTTCTATGAGCAATGCATGTCAGTGCGATTCCTTTACACCCAGCCCACCAACTGAGCGTGGTTAAACGTGGGGAGAAAGGAGGGTGAGGTTACCAACCTGTTGGTTGAGAAACGGCCTCTGCCCAGCGTGCCCTTCCTCCACCCCCACGCGAGAAACAGCTGAACTCCGGCCGGGACGCGGGTGCCGCCTGTCCAGCCCTGTGCTGCGTCCCCTGAGGGCGGGCTGCAGGCGGCCGGGAAGCCTTGCACAACCGGCCCGAAAGAGGAAGCCCAGAATGTGCTGAAGTAAACACTTAGGCAGACTGTTGCAACATAAATCGGCCTTTCTCTCTGGTGGAACCATCGCTTGGCCCCAAGTCCCTTAGACCCTCATGCGTTGAGGCTGCAAAATGGGTCGATTCGCCAGGAGACGTTCCTGAGAGAAGGGCGCGCACGGCACAGGTAGGGGAGGGACAAGAGAGAAAGGAGCAATGTTTCCCAGAATTTAAAAAGAAAAAAAAATCTTTTCAAGGTGGTTGTGTAGCGGGGGCGGGATAGGGAGAAAGTCAGGCGCAGACTGGATGATTTAGAGAAAGCAGCCCCTAACTCTGAGTCCTTTACGCATACGTTTGTCTGTCCCTCTGTCTCTAACTAGGGGCCCTCCTTGCACCTCGAAGCAAAGCAGCTCGGATAGCGCCACACGTCTGCACGCTGCGTGGGAAGGGCAGGGCTGACAGCACTTCCTCCCCGGGGCAGCGACCTGGAGCCCGGGTACGGCCGCCTGCACTGCGCGTCGCTTTCGCGGCCCGAGCCCCGCCGCCTTCCCACACCCCCGCCGCGCCCCGCAGAGCCGTCGAGGTAAGTGGCGCCCCTAGTCTCCGGAGCCCTGTGAGCGCCAGCCCGGGACCCTCGGGGCTGTCACGGGGCCGGTGCGTCAAGCCTATTGGGTCGGATGCCGGGCGCAGCTACAGGCGCTGGCCTCGTGAACGCGCGCCCCCCGCGTGGCCTTCGAGCGCAGCGGGTACCCCGGGTGCCCGCCGCCGATCTCCACACTGGACCCGGCTCGCGAAGGTGGGAGTCTGGGGGCTTGGGGTCAGGCTTGCCTTTCCCCAAGCTGTTGCATCAGATTTGACATATTTCCTGCCCAGGAAATTGCTACAAGGTCAAACGGGGAACTGGTATGAGCCCTCGCGCGTCCAGAAGGTCGGCAGGTCCAGGAGCCCCAATCTACCCGAATGTAGAGGGATTCTTGAGGGGCGTTTCCAGGCACTGTGGAATAAATACCAGTCGCGTGAGAATTTGAATGTGGCTCGTAGTCTGACGCTTCTTAGACTGTTTCCTTCCTCTAAAACTTTTGGACAATTATTTCTTCTTTTTAAAAATAACTTCTTTCCCCCGAATTATTCTCATTTTCATTTTAAAATACCTTAAAGATACACTTGGATACCAGGCACAAGTTTCATAATTTGGCTTGAAACAGGTCCAGAGGGCCTTTTACGGCATGGAGGAAACTAGGGTGTCCTAATGTCTCCAAGAACCTCTGCGCGGGTGTCCCGCCAAAGACCTAGCCCAGTGTACCTCTTACTTTCCTTCTAGGAAGGTATTTCATAGTATTCATACTCCTGTGGAAAGTGAAATGTGTTTCCTAAAGCCACTCAGGACTTAGCGGTTCAAAAACAACTTTTGATGTGATCCTTAACGAGACAGAGTACTAAAGTAACAAAAGAAAAAGGCACGTGTGTTGATTATGCCCCCAGTTTTTTTTCTGTTTTGTTTTTTTTTTTTCCGGTGACATACGTGGTTTAAACGAAGGTGCTGGTACTATTCATTTAAAAATCTGGGTCTCCAGACAGAAATTTCAGAAAGGAAAAGTTTGTCCTTTTTCATAAACCTAGAGCAGTGATTTTCCCTCTGGAAATACTGGAATACTGGGTGGTACATGGGCCAGGGTGATGATGCTTGCTGGCAAAATTAGCAAGGATCTGCCGAGAAAGACTTTGTAACGTCTTCTAGTGATATTTCCTGTCTGCTCAAAGTGTGTTGTGAAAAGTCTAAGAAATTTAACGTCATCCTTAAACTATTAATGTGTGTCCATAAACTATTAATAATTATTAAGCTATTAATCCTTAAACTATTAAAAATTACTAATATGTGTGTCTTTCCTCAGCACTTGGGAGGCCTGGGTTCTGGCTCTTAAATCTGCCCCCAGCTAGCTAAGGATGTCCTTGATTAACTTGCATAACTTCTCCCTGGACTTCAGATAACATCAGTAAAGTGAGATGATTGGACTACATTATGTCTGTCCTTGAGAGAGCAACTGAGGAGTTGCTATTATTCTTTGAATTAGTCCCAGCTGGAATACTGGAAAATTAGAATTGCTGATCATGAATGTTTTAAAGTGGAGAAAATGATCATAATCATGATAACAGATTTTCTTATATTCTGAAATATCAACATATTTGAGGTAGTTTGTTTCTGAGAAGTTCCTGTAAAAGCACAGTGAGTATCTGGTCTATATGTAAAAAGGCAAATTTCCATCCTATTTGAAAACTGAGAGAATGAAGAACCCAAACTTGAACAGGTCAATATTATATTTTGAAATCCTTCAATTGCTATTTCTCAAGAAATATAACTGTAATATTAATTACTTTATGGCATTAGTTATTTTAAATATTAAACACAGTACTTACTAGGTTTTATAGTATCTATTACATTTTTTATATTTTTATATCCCAAGAATGTACACCAGTTACCCACTATTGATTTACCTTTTTTCACTCATCAATGAAAGTTTTAAATATTTCCATATTATTATTAGAATGAGCTACTTACAAAGTTCATTACCATAAATGTCTATGTTTGATATGCCTCTTTGGATTTTCTTTTAGCCATCTTACTTTTAGAGAACATTATTATTTTCATTTACTTCTAATTCTCTTCAATTTTATTTTCTTTTTATTTTTTTCCCATTTATTTTATTGCATTTTAGGTTTTGGGGTACATGTGAAGAACATGCAAAATTGTTGCATACGTACACATGTGGCAGTGTGATTTGCTGCCTTTCTCCCCATCACCTACATCTGGCATTTCTCCCCTTGCTATCTCTCCCCAGCTCCCCACCCCGCACCGTCCCTCCCCTATTTCCCCCCAACTGACCCCAGTGCGTAGTGCTCCCCTCCCTGTGTCCATGTGTTCTCATTGTTCAACACCCGCCTATGAGTGAGAACATGCGGTGTTTGATCTTCTGCTCTTCTGTCAGTTTGCTGAGAATGATGGTTTCCAGGTTCATCCATGTCCCTACAAAGGACATGAACTCATCATTTTCGATGGCTGCATAATGTTCCATGGTGTATATGTGCCACATTTTCCCTATCCAGTCTATCGTCGATGGGCATTTGGGTTGGTTCCAGGTCTTTGCTATTGTAAACAGTGCTGCAATGAACATTCGTGTGCACATGTCCTTATAGTAAAACGATTTATAATCCTTTGGATATATACCCAGTAATGGGATTGCTGGGTCAAATGGAATTTCTATTTCTAGGTCCTCAATTTTATTTTAATTATTTTTATTCCTAAAACTTTTTAGTGAGTCCACAAATCTTATAATAAATTGTCTGCATTCCATAGCCTATTGAACCACAATATTTACAATTTTATAGGACCCCATGAGTTTATTTTATGGGGACTAAAGTGATGTTAGGAATTCTCACCTCAAAATAGAACAATTTTTATTAATATAACTGATATTTTCTCAGTAAGAAAATGTATGTATGTGTTTTATATCATTGCTGTCATCTAAGAGGCAAGTCACTTAAACCTGAAGCATTTATTATAAATTTGGATACATAATAAATGCCAGATTTTAATGTATAAGGTTGCTATTCTGGATGCATAGGGATTTTTTATATGTATTACAGTTTTAATTATCATAAGAAACATGACTTTTAGAGAAAACTGCTAGATATCTGGAACAGTAATCACTAGAGTTCTCTTGAAAAGAGCGGACTATCGTATGCAGGAATGCCATTACACTTATACCCAGTGTAACAGACTAGATAGTACTTGCAGCGTGGCAGGGCAGGCCCTGGGGACAGCTTTGAAGGACTACAGGATGTGACCTGCCACCACTGCATCGTCCTTTCCTAGCCAAATTCTGGCCCCAAAATTTGGACTCCAAAGATGTTGGCTAAATGTGGAGAATGTATTAATTTCCCTTGAGTGGTACCATGAAAATATCACAAGCCCCTGAGATCCCGTTGGCTCCACTGGTCCCAAACTTGAGGCATGAGCAATCAAAGAGGTAACACCACTCCAAGGCATCGCACATTCTCGTTATTCTACATATTCTGGAGCTTGATTCCATGACTCAGTTTCCAAACATTTCCTGAGCATTGACCATGAACTTGAATCATTAAGAATCATAAGAGCTATTTTCTTTCTTCTCTGTCAACTCAGTTTTCTCTTTGATCATCACATGGTAATAGTAAATAATAATTATTATAATGTTTACTTATAAATACTACCGGGCCTGTAGTAACTAATTTAGATGTGTCATCTCGTTAATCCTCACATCAAGATGAAAACAGGGAGAGGTTAAGAAACTTACACAGGAATTAAGAAACAGAGCTGTTGTTTGAACTGGGCCATTCTGATAGTAGCACCCTTGAAAAAACATGGAGGCTTTCTGCAATGAGTTTATAGTCTGGAAGAGGAGATGTGACTAGGCAGTTAGAATTCCATGTGTAACCAGACTTGTGTGCTGTAGGGCTACATATCGGGGTCCCTACAACCAACCAGGGTTGGGGAGAAGCAGGAATAGAAGGAAACCAAGCCAAGAACTTGTCATGTTATTGTGGGAAGACAAGACATTATAATCAACTTTGTAGTTATTATCTTTACATGTGTCTTGAAAAAAGAATCCGCTTTGTCAGCAATCTTGTGTTTTCGTTTTTGTGTTTATTCTAATCCCACATGATAGCTGGCTAGACTGATCAAATCAACAAAGCAGTGAGTTTAACATTTGTTTTCAATTCTGCTGGGGCTCTTTTTGATTTGGTCTCATATCACAGAATCATCAATGAGATGGCTGTGGGCTGGGATGGGGTATAAATGCTAAATCACACAGCAATTATGCTTCTGCAAACCTACCGAAAGGTTTACATTCAAAGAGCTACATCATATCAAGCTGAAGAAAAATAAACATTGATATTAGAACAAGTGAATTATGACTAGATTTATTTCTTCCTTCACTTTTTATGAAATGTTTCATATATACAAAAGATGATGTATATATGTAAATCACGACAAATAATAAAGCCAACATCTGGATACCTATCACCCAGCTTGAGAAGTAGAGGATTTACCAAGGCATTTCCTGGTATCTTTCCAATAACATTTCCTCATTTCCCAGCTAGATGTAATCATTATTCTGAATGTACTAATTTTTAAAAAGCATTTAGGAAGCATGTACATACATTTGTAAAGGATAGTGTCAAACTGGGGATTAGAGAACACTGGGATGGCAGACTGGAGTTAGGTTCCCAGTTGACTCTGAGTGGTCACAAGTAGAGTGTGCTGTTCACTAAAGACAGCTTACTTTAATTGAATAGCACAAAAACAACGTGTATTAGAAATAATTAAGAGTAAGTACCACAGAAATTGTGCTATCTTAGACACTGATAAAATGACCAAGAATCATCAGTAAAGAACTCTGATTTTTAAGTCAAATAAAGAACTTGTGGCCGGGCAAGGTGGCTCATGCCTGTAATCCCAGCACTTTGGGAGGCCAAGGCAGGCAGATCACCTGAGGTCAGGAGTTCGAGACTAGCCCGACCATCGTGGACAAAAACTAGCTCTAC